ATTAAATCAAAAATAATTTTAAACCACTAAATACCTAGACCAACTTTATGTCTTTGCTGGAATCAAAGTGTGAGAAATGAGGTAGGGGCTTCTGAAGGGGTTGATGAATTGATCATGCCAAATTCTCTGGAGCCCCCACTTGAAATGGAAACGAAAATGAAAATTTATATTTTTCAAGGAAATTTGAAAAAGGAAAATCTACAGGGTAGTCAATGGACATGGAAAAAGATTTGATCAGACTCTTGGTTATGGATTGAGTGAGGAGGAGAAAGGATTTTGGTAATGCAGTCCTGACCTTTTCGATTAGCAAGTGAAAAGAGGATTTTGGTTCTTTCGTGTTGTGTTAAGATGAGGAGAGTTAATTGTTGAGGAAGGAGCAAATAAATGTAAAACGCACCGTTTTATAAGTCCCCCACAAGGCTGAAATTTTACGCCTTGTTTGGATAGAAAATAGTAAAGGGAAAAAAAGGGAGGGAAATGGAGGAAAATAAAAAGAAATGGAGGAAAATAAAAGGAAATGGAGGGGGAAGAAAAGAAAGGGAAGGGAAGAAAATAAAAGGAAATGATTTGTGTTAATTTTATTTGGATAAATAAAAATGAGGAAGGGAAAGGAAAGGGAAGGGAAAGATTGTATTATTTTATGTTTGGATAATTAAGATAAAAGGAAGGAAAAGAAAAGAAGGATTTAAATTAATTTTAAATTTATAAATTTACCCTTTAAACTTGTAATGAATTTAAAAATTAAGGTTAATTTTGTAATTACATTTAATATAATCTAAATAGTCACTCAAATCTCTCCCAAACCCTCCAAATCGGGCAAATTATAGATCTGCAGATTTGAAGGTGGTTGGAGAGAGTCCGAATCAGTTCATCTCCCTCTCCCTCTTTGAAAACCCAAACAAAAAAAAAGTGACAAGCCCCTCACTCCCCCTCCCTTGCCATATGTCCCCATCCCTTCCCCTCCCTCTCTCCGTCCGATACCTCCAATCCAATCAATACCTTAGTCCTGGTAGTCATTTTCTTCCGCTTTCTCTTCCTTCAAATTTCTCCTTTTTCAAATGCGACTAATATTTTAGGATTGGGAAGTCAACGTTCTTCCGTTTTATCTTCTTTCAAATGCGACTAATATTTTCGCTCGAGCATGAAATTAATCTTTTTTTCCTATAAATCAGTCATCAATGCCATCAGGAGCTTCTCCACCAGCGAGGATTAGGTTTCACTTTGTGTTCACCAGTACTTTGTGTCAGTCCATTTTTTCATTTCGTAAGAGATTCTAGTGTTTGATCATGATTTGAATACATCCATACATGCTTGGTTGTCTTAATCATTTTTCTGGGTCATTTCTTTTGCTTTTAATTTTGTTGGGGGTTATGACTTCCACTCTCTGTCTGATCCGATTCATATTTTCAGATCCAGTCCGCCACTCTGAATCTCCATCTGCTAGGATTTTCCCTCCGAGAGCCGATGGGGCGTGTCACTCAGCTTTTTTCGGAAACTTTGGCGTCGCTGCGGCGCCTCTGGTTCTGCTACGACCACGCCAAGGTAATGCTTTTTATCTGAATGGCTAGCTCGGTATTGAATATTTATCTCTGGAAGTGAATCTTAGGGTTCCTGTTTTTGTTCTGTGTAGTTCTCAGAGCCCCGCCGTCGCCGTGCCCGTCGCCGTGGCCGTGGCCGTGGCGATGGCGGTGGCGGTGGCGATGGCGATGGCGGTGGCGATGGCGGTGGCGGTGGCGGTGGCGGTGGCTGGGGGTCTGACGGGGGGTCTGGCGGGGGATGGATCGTCTCTGAGAAAGAGGACGACGAAGGTGAGAGTTTCACTGTTTCTATTTTTGGATCTTGAACTGACGTTAACTCGTTGTTGAAGTTTTGTTATAGATTTAAAGCTTACTTTTCAGTAGTTTAGTTACTGAAAATGATATGAATTGATTGGGAATTTATTCAATACCTAGCTAATGAAGCAGTCAAAAAACGAGGACGAGGACGTCCGCCGAAGCAACTATCAGTTGAAGAGGAGGAGATAAGGCACAAGAAGAATATACAAAGGAATAGAGATTATCGGGAAAATAAGAAGGTAAAGAGATGTCTTGTTGTTTCCACATGTATTATATATAATTGTAGGGTGAATTTAGTGATAGTTTTTCTTTGTAATTAAAGATTACTTTGAATTATATATTTGTAGTGTGCATAAAAAAATCTTCATTTATTTTGTTTTAATTGTTAATTTAGTTGAATTTAGTGCTATATAGTTTTTCTTTGTGATTAAAGATTTCTGTTTCAATTATATCTTTGCAGGGTAAATTCAATCATCTTCAGGAACAGCAAGAACTGTTCATTAAATTTTGTAAGGAGAAAGGGATTACTGAAGAGTTCAAAGCCTTTTGTGAAAAAAGGGTGTGATAATCTTTCCTTTTGAGTTTTTTTATCCAGAACTTTTCTCTACATACTAGTAATTCAATATATAAAAAAATTAAGTATATAGCATGGAATTAGTGATTTAACAATTTTAATTATTACCTTGTAGAACCTGTGGACAACTTTGGAGGAGGTATATATAGATATTATGTTGCATTTCTAATTATAGAACGGCTACTGTTTTAACATTTTCTTAACCTGCAGAACCTTGGAAGTAAAGTGATCCAAACAGGGGGACTAGAGGGTGTCACTGCTGCGAATTCAAGTAGCTTGGGAGGTATGGTGAATTCACCAAAATCCTGGGGTTACTACTTTGCTGCTATAATTTTTGAGGGCTAACTCTTTTGGTTTGAATGTGACAGCGATAGTAGCCCATCAGGGCGAGAGGCCTGCAACTGCTTACACTACTCCAAGTCATCCCCCAATTGATGGGTTTACGGCTGAGGCTCACCAGAACTATGGTCAGTCAGTGGCTGCACTGGCTACTCAAGGACTGTTGTCAACCAACAAAGTTACACAAATACAAATGATCAATGCTGAACTGACAGAGAAGGTTGAGATTTCCAAGGATGCACTTGATTTACAGGTGAGGAACGCTGTGACCCTTGGTTGGAATTTGTTGAAGAAGCAGCTGCAGTCCTTGCCGCCTGGTTCAGAGTTTTTAGACTTGCCTCTATTGGATCCTTCTCTCCAAAACCAGTTCAATGAAGATCAGACTTTGATAGGTCAGGGACATCCCATCGATGACAAAGTTGCCATGCAATCTGATGATCCACCAGTGGTTGTGCCACGCTCCTTTTTTTCGTTCTACAACTGGTTGGAGAATGAGGTAGCACGGGAGCCCAATGCTTTTGCTCCTCTAGGAGATGCTGCCAACATAGCTGCAAACGCCAGAGCTAATAATGTGGAACATGAGGATGATGCAAATTATCAGAGGATGGATGAAGCTACTGAGGTTGATAGATGTGTTTCGATGTGGCTACGTGATCCAGATGGTGGTGAGGATCCTTGAATTTATCCCTTCTGCATAGGGTTAATGCCAACTATCGTCCCTCTACTATTAAAAAGAGTTCAATTTAAACCTTTTTAATAGTAGAGGGATGATAGTTGGCATTAACCCCTTTTGCATTTGTGATCATTAGTTTGCAGATGCAAGATGCCTGCGTGCTTCCTGGGAACAATTTCACTGCCCCTGCGTAGGCCAATAATTTGATACCGTTGATACATTTTCGTTCTGTCTAACCATCGGATACTGAATGTTGGATTTTTGGTGCTGAATGTTGATGGGAGCATCTTTTTATTTGACATATGACCTGTTGATGCTTGCTTTGCTTTTATTCTATTTTTTTTTTCTTAAACAGGAACGGAATGATAACGCCATATTAGGAACCGAGTAAATTTTTAGATTTTTTAAAATGAAAATTTCATATATCAATGTTACAACTAGATCTAGATGTCTCAAAGTAGTTATTTAAAAAATTTATTTTCTTAACGTTATCATATGATTAAGTGTAATAACCTATAATCTTAATATAAAGAACAACACTGTTGGGTTGGATTAGGTTCATTTCCATTCCTTCAATTACGACTAATATTTTAGCTCGAGCTATAAAAATTACTCCTTGTGAAGATTTTAAAAATTAATTGTTGAATTAAAAATTTTGTTAATATAGATCATACGTATATAATTTTATATTGATTTAGTAG